GCCCGCAGCGCACGGCCCGCACGACGCCTTCGCCGCCTCGCTCAGCTGTGTGCTGCCCGACTTCTTGCAGGGCCGGGCGCCCGGCCGCTATGTCGGAGCCTGCTTCGACAGACTGCTGTCCCCGGACGCCGTGCCCGCCCTGTTCCGCACCGTGCCGGTCTTCTCACTGCCCTCACAGTTGCCAGACTTCCTGGGGACCCTGCAGGGGCCCGGCGCCCCCCGCCACGGGCGGCTCGCGGAGAGGGCGGAGCAAATGTCCCGGGTCCTCCAGCCCGCCCTGGACAGCTGCTTCCGGCCCCCAGGGACCCCGGGGACGGGTCGCGGGATGAGGCCTGAGGCAGAGGAGAGGACTTGAATAAAAGCAGACGGTATTTTTCTATCTGTGTCTCCCAAGTGTCTCTGTAACCCAGCGGATAGCCGGGCCCGCCGCCCGCACCCTGTATCGCAGCGGCCCTTTAACACCCAGACAGGTGCAGTCCGGCGACGCCTCTGGTTGGCTGGCGTGGGGTGACGCAATGGCACATGGCCTGCTGCCATTGGCTGTGGCTCGGGCTCCGCCTCCCGGACTGCGGAGCAGGCGGAGGGCGCACGTCTTACGCAGCCCGCGGCCGCGGCGGCGTTGGGGAGACTGAGCTGTCGGCGCCCCGGGGCTGGGTGGGTCATCTCTTCCTCTCTCGAGCCTACGCGGATCTGGAGACTCCCTTGCGGGCTCGTGGGCCGCGCCTTTGCCGCCTGCAGGCCCCGAACCTGACCCCTTCTCTTCATATCCGGATATGGGTTCCTCCCCACAAGACCCTCCGTCTGGCGTCTTCTCCCTAAATACTTAGGAATCTGACCCATTCTCCCTAATTCCGCCGATCCGGCCCGTAGGAGCCATATTCCGACCCTAGAACAATGGGCTGACTCCTACGCCCTTGCTGAGGATCCAGACCACCTCCCCCACGGTGACGAGGATAACTTATTACCGTCCTGGAATTGTAGAATAGACTCCTTCCCCCACCCCCCACCCCCGTCTCCCCTCCCTTGACCTTACCGTAGTTCCGCCTTCTTTTCTTACAGTAACACAGATCTGGGCTCCCAGACTCGAGACACCTCAGAATCAATCCTTTTCTTTTTCACTTGGCTCCTCCAGCAAACCTTTCCCACGTCCTCTATCTACAGGTGCCCAGCCTGGGAAAAGATGGCCCCATGGTCCCAGAGGGGCCTAGCCCCAGCTCTGCTCTGGGGCCTGAGCCTCTTCCTTGGCCTCCCAGCCCCCGTGTGGGTCCAGCCCTCTCTGCCTCCCCAGGCTTCTCCCCCCACTGAGCCCCATCCATGTCATACCTGCCGGGGACTGGTCGACAGCTTCAACAAGGTGGGTGCACCAGGAGTGTAATGGCGGCGTCTCAACTACTCTAGCACAGGGGTTGAGAGCTGGGAGCTCTGGGATAGAAGTCTGCATGCACTCATGTCCCAACTTGGTTACTTACTGGTTGTATAGCCTTGGGTAGGTTGCCTTCTGTGCCTCAGTTTCCTGATCAGTGAAAGAGCTAGAGTGTGCCAGGAACTATACTTGGCTATTACTAATTTTTTCCATTTCCAGGGCCTGGAGAGAACCATCAGGGACAACTTTGGAGGTGGAAACACTGCCTGGGAGGAAGAGAAGTTGTCTAAATACAAAGACAGGTAAGGAAGAAGCTGGACGGATGGGTTTGTCTACTTCACATCCCAGTCTCTGCTATGCTGGTGGAGACTCTTTGGGAGCACTTATTCAACAGTATCATTGAACATCTGTAGGACAGCAGTAAACAAGCAAAATCCATCTTCATGGAGCTTACATTCCAGTAGAGGAGACAGACAGTGAAGAAGTAAATAAAATCATATCAGGTGAAGAACAGTAAAGCAGGGTGGACTACAGAATGGTGAGAGATGTGGCATTTGACATACGACATTAAAACAGAGACCTGAGTAGGGAGGGAAATAGCTCAGTGGTAGAGCGCATGCTTAGCATGCACAAAGTCCTGGGTTCAATCCCCAGCACCTCCATTAAAAACAAAACAAAACAAAAGAACAGAGACCTGAGGTGAAGAGCGAACTGTGTGAAAATCAGGGGAGGGATTTGGAAAGGGGGGGACTGAGCTTGGTGTATTTGAGAAGTGGCTGGATTTGGAGTGAGCAGAGGGGAGAGTGGTGGGTAGGACGTTTGGAGTGGGAAAGTGATGTGGTTTTATTTATACCTTTAAAAGGTCACTGACACTGCTGTGTAGCGAACAGACTCTAGGGTGCCAGGGTGGAGGAGCAGAAAGACCAGTCTGGAGGTGGGTGCATAGTCTAGGCATGAGGGCAGCAGTGGACATGATGAGAAGGGGTCAGATTCTGGGTGTATTTTGCAGATAGACTGATAGGACTTGATGATGGAATCATTATGGGATGTGAGAGAAAAAAGTAGAATAAAAGTTCCTCGGTAGGTTTTGGGCCTGAGTAACTGGGTGAATAGTGGGACTGTTTTCTGAGATGGGCGAAACTGAGGAAGGAAAAGATGTAGGGAGGTCATGGAATCAGGCGTTCTCGTTAAACTTGTTGGGCTGAGATGTCCGTAAAGAGTCAAGGAGAGTTAGATTTAGGAGTCAGGAGTTCGGGAGAGAAGTAGGACTGGAGACGTGAATTTGGCGGTCATCAGCATAGAATCAGCATATAGTCAAGTCTTGGGACAAGATGAGATTATATTGAGAGGAGAGCCTTGAGCCCCAGGCCCTCCACGTTTTCAGTGTCAGATTGAGGAGAAGGAATCAGCAAGGCTTGGAGTTAGACCTGGTTGTCAGTTCTGACTATACCCTAGGGAAGGTCACTTCTCTCTGATCCTCAGTTTCCTCATCTGTAAAATGGGGATATTAAATACCAACTTTGCCTACTTCATAGGATTGTGGTAAGGATTAAACTGTGATGCCCACTAGAAATAAAAGTTTTATTATTATGTAACATTTTCCTTTCCTTCAGTGGGCCTGTTTCTTCATTTGGGAATGAGGAGATTGACCAAGATAACCTTGAGAGCACTTCTAGCTCTATAATGGCTCCTTTTGTTTTGTTTTGTTTTGTTTTGTTTTGTTTTGTTTTGTTTTGTTTTAAATCACCTCCTCCTATATGCCAGGCACTGTGCCAGACCTGTTATATATGTATAATACGTTTAATGTACATGTATATTTAAAAGTTTTTTCATTGTGGTAGAATGCAATAGTATAAAATTTACCATTAGAGACATTTAGTACATTCACAGTGTTGTGCAACTGTTACCATTTTCTAGTTCTAGACTGCTTTCATCGCCCCTAGAAACTCTATTGCCATTAAATAGTCACTTCCCTTTCCCCCTCCCCTAGCCTCTAGCATCCACCAGTCTGCTTTCTGTCTCTGTGCTATTTGCTGATTCCATTGGAATCATACAATTTGGTCTTTTATGTCTGGCTTCTTTTACTTAGCATAATGGTTTCAACGTTCATCCATCTTATAGCAAATATCAGTACTTCATTCCTTTTCAAGGCTTAATAATATTCTGATGTGCGGATAGACCACATTTGTTTATCCATTTATCAGTTGATGGACATTTGGGCTGTTTCTACCTTTTGGCTATTGTGCTTAGTATTGCTGTGAACATTTGTGTGCAGGTTTTTGTTTTAACACCTGTTTTCCATTCTTTTGGCTATGTACCCAGAAGAGGAATTACTGAGTCAGATGGTGATTCCATGTTTAACTTATGAAGGAACTGCCAAACTGTTTTCCATAGTGGCTGCGCCATTTTTCATTCCCACCTGCAGTGTTGGACCATTCCAGTTTCTCCACGTCCTTGCCAGCACTTGTAATACGATATGTTTTTAACCACATCTACCCAGCAAGGGTGTTATATTCCATTGCACAGATGCAGGGACTGAGCTATCTTACAACAAACCTGCAGGGAGTATTGTCCCCATTTTACAGATGAGAAAACAGGTTTGGGAGAGGGTAAATGACTTGCCCAAGGTCACACCACTGGATTAGAACCCAGGGCTGTCTGACTCCCCAAACCAGTACCCATGCCATTATGGCCTGTAGCCTTTCCTTTGACATGGTCTGGCACGAGGAGGGGCGGGAGGGGAGACGGTGAGGAGGGTGGTAGGTGGGCTGGAGTGTGGCCCTAACGCTCATCCCTGTCTGGTTAGCGAGACCCGCCTGGTAGAGGTGCTGGAAGGCGTGTGCAGCAAGTCGGACTTTGAGTGCCACCGCCTGCTGGAGCTGAGTGAGGAGCTGGTGGAAAGCTGGTGGTTTCACAAGTGAGTGGTCGGGGCCTTCCGGGGGCGAAAGGTAAAGCAGGGGGTGGTAAGCTAGGGGCTGTGTCCCCATTCGCCTCCTTCCTTCAAAGCCAGGTGCGCTCAGGACTCACTGGGGGACCAGGCTCACTCTGAGCTTCAGTTTACGCCTCTCCCAAATGGGGAAGGGGTGTTGGTCAGGCAGCCTTTGGGTTTATGCCCAAGATGGGCTGTTTCACAGATTCTGAGGGAGGTGGGGGGGCAGCACCTCTGACACTGTCTCAGTCCCCGCGCTGTCCCCCGCTTCAGGCAGCAGGAAGCCCCAGACCTCTTCCAGTGGCTCTGCTCCGATTCCCTGAAGCTCTGCTGCCCGCCAGGCACCTTTGGGCCCTCTTGCCTTCGTGAGTTTTTCATGTTCTTCTTGGGAGATGGAAGGGGAATCCTGGGGCTAGGGATCCAGGCCTGGCTCTGTCCCTAGTTGGCTGTGTGAGCTTAGTCTGCTCAGATAACTTCTCTGGACCTCCATGAACAGAACCCTGTCTCACAGGGCTGGTGAGGTGAACAAATCAACGGAGAATGGCCCTGGAAAAAGACACAGGGCTAGACCAAGTCAGATACAGCTGTGGTTTCTATCATGCATTTGAGAAGTGCCCCCATCCTTCCCGCCATTTCCCATGCCTGGACCAGCCCAGGCCCCATGCCCTGGACTAAGGTGACCTTCCTAGGGATGGGCAGAAGCCCCTGTTTTCACCACCGTTTTCTGCATACAGTTATGAGACAGGGGCTGAACTTACTACTAGCCTTTTTTAGAAAAATCTCTCTGGAAGCAGTGATATAAAGAATTAGCAAAAAAAAAAAAAAGAATTAACAACAAAGATGGTCAATTCAGTCTTTATAAAAGAAAAGATTTATAAATAACATAACTGTTCCACAATGGGGCATTGGTTAAGTAAATTGCGTACAGTTTTATGACAGAATATTATGTCATCATTAAAATCATTTCCTCTCCAGAAATGTTGACAGATATGGGGATAATATTCTCTACATACAAGATTGTATTTACAGTCCCACCTGCTTTGGTGTCTGCCCACAGCCTGTCCTGGGGGCGCAGAGCGGCCCTGCGGTGGCTACGGGCAGTGTGAAGGGGAAGGGACACGAGGGGGCAGCGGGCACTGTGACTGTCAAGCCGGCTACGGTGGAGAGGCCTGTGGCCAGTGCAGCCTTGGCTACTTTGAGGCAGAACGCAACGCCAGCCATCTGGTATGTTCGGGTAGGTAGTCGAGAGGCGCAGCACTGGGCAGGGGCACTTGGGGTGCCTGCCTACACACCCTCATATGTCCCCCATCCCACTCAGCTTGCTTTGGCCCCTGTGCCCGCTGCTCGGGACCTGAGGAATCAAACTGTTTACAGTGCAAGAAGGGCTGGACCCTGCATCATCTCAAGTGTGTAGGTGAGTGGGGCCCTGCCCTAGGCCTGGAGGGGCAGGGAGGGGTCCTGGGCTTGGTTCCCCATCAACACACACATCTCTGTGCTAGACCAACCCGGTCCCCACCTTCATGGAGATCTCAACCTGGTTGGGAAGGCAGAAGAGTAACCAGGTACTTACGGTACAGACTGATGGTTTTACAGGGAGAGATGTACCTCTTCCAGCTCCATGGTGGTGGGGGGGGAATCAGGAAAGGCTTCTTGGAGGAGGTGTCACTTGGGTCAAGTCTTGAAAATTGAAAAAGGGTTAGCCAGGGGAATGAAGATACTGAACTTGGGACAGGAAACCTGGGTTCCAGACTTAGTTTGATCCCTGCCTAGCCATTTAGATAGAAGAGGATAAAAGCTAAGCTGCTGTAACAAAAAGATTCTCAAAGACTGTGGCTTAAAGAATATAGAGGTTTATTTTTATCTCATATCACAGTCTCGAAGCCAGTCGTCCAGGCTGGCAGGGAAGCGCTGCTTGTCCCAGTCATTAAGAACCCAGATTCCTTCTGTCTTATTGTGCATTCATTCCCTTGGGTGTTGGCTTCCTGGTTGAGGCTGGGTCACGAGCACCTGCGTGTTCCATGACCCAGCATTCAGGAAGTGAGAAAGGGAAGAAAGTGCACGGAGGAGTCCACGTCTGTTGTTTTAAGGCCAAGCCAGAAGTGGAGCACGTCACTTCTGTTTACATCCTGCTGGCCAGAACGCAATCACAAGGCCACACTTGGCTGCAAGGCAGATTGAAAAATGTCGTCTCCTGCTGGACGGCCCGGAGTCCAGCTGCACCTCTGTGTGCGTGCTGGTGGACAGCCTATGGTGTCTGGACCACTGGGGACTGGGCTAGTCCCTTCGCAACAACCCAGGCCTGAGCTTCCCCGTTAGTGAAATAGGGACTGAAGTCCCCACCCTACTGGCCTCTTTGCAGACATTGATGAGTGTGGCACAGAGCGAGCCAGCTGTGGACCCGACCAGTTCTGTGTGAACACAGAGGGCTCCTACGAGTGCCGAGGTACGTGCCGCTCCTGCACAGGAAGAGGGTGGGGATGGTGGGAGGAACTGCTCCACGCCTTTCCCCACAAACTTCCACCTTCCCAGGTACCAGAACTTCTCCCCACCTCCTGCCCAGAGCTCTTCTGGAGCAGGGCTTCCCCTCAGGCCTACGGGCAGCTCGCATCCTTTTCTCCTCTCCTTTCTCCAGACTGTGCCAAAGCCTGCCTGGGCTGCATGGGGGCAGGGCCAGGCCGCTGTAAGAGATGCAGCCCTGGCTACCAGCAGGTGGGCTCCAAGTGCCTCGGTGAGTGTCCTGCTGGTAGGGCTCCGGCACCCGGGGGGGCCTTGCCCACCACAAATTGAGAGGGGCTGGAAGGTGGACAGGGCGTGGGAAGGAAGGGTGGAAGGTTGCCTGGGCCGGGGCAGAGGGGTGTCAGGATGTGAGCAAGACAGAGTCAGGGGCCCTGCCCGTGGGATCCTGGTGGCCAGGCCTCTGATCCTCTGCGTCCTTCCTCAAGATGTGGATGAGTGTGAGACAGTGGTGTGCCCGGGAGAGAACGAGCAGTGTGAGAACACGGAGGGCAGTTACCGCTGCGTCTGTGCCGAGGGCTACAAACAGATGGAGGGCATCTGTGTGAAGGAGCAGATCCCAGGTGAGCCCCATGCTGGCCCCAGAAACCTGGGAGGGTCACCATCCAGGGGGCAGGGAAGCCCTGCCTCCAGGCCACTGCCAGCCCTTTCCCACCCCCACCACCACCCAGCCCTCGTGTGCTGCACTGGGACCTGAACCCCACATCTGATCCCCAGGCTGGCTTCTGTTGCCCTCACAGCTCCCAGGGTGGAAAGAAAATGGGACTTGGCCTCAAGTCATTCTGCCTCCCCAGGCCTCTTTCCTCATCTGTCCAGTGGGACTCATCCTTGCCCTGCCACTGAGAGCTGCCGTAGGCCATGGGTGTGATGAGACCAAAGACAGTCACAGTGATGATAGTGACCACTTCCACAGCTCTTAACCCTGTGTCACACGCTGTTCTAAGCATGCTGCACGTATTAACTTATTTCTCCCCTAAAACCAGTCCAGTGCTGTAGCTATTATTCTCATCCCCACTAGTATAGTGGAAGCTGGGACGCAGAGATGGAACAACTTGCCCAGGGCCACCATGGCAAGCAGGTGGCAGAGCTGGGCATTGATGCCAGCACTCTGGCTCTGGAGCTGGGCTAGCACACGTGCTCTGACCCAACTCGCCCACCTGGCCTTGGGCAAACCTCTTCACCTCTCCGAGCCTCAGGTTCCCATTTAGTGAGACAGGGATAATAGCTGCCCCTCTTGGAGTTGTTTTCAGCAGCAAATGACATCTTGTGCTGGTGTGCCCGGCAGGCGCGCAGCAGCAATGATCAGGCGTGTGGGAGGCTCAGGGAACGGGGGCTGAGTGACAGGCGCTTCTCTTGCTCAGAGTCAGCAGGCTTCTTCTCGGAGATGACAGAGGACGAGCTGGTGGTCCTGCAGCAGATGTTCTTCGGTGTCATTATCTGCGCTCTGGCCACGCTGGCTGCCAAGGGCGACTTGGTCTTCACTGCCATCTTCATCGGGGCTGTGGCGGCCATGACTGGCTACTGGTTGTCAGAGCGCAGTGACCGTGTGCTGGAGGGCTTCATCAAGGGTAGATAATCCCTGCCACACCTGCAGGATCTCCTCCCGCCTGGGCTGCCCCCGAGGTAGGACTCTCCCGCCTGGACACTTGAGGCACTTGCTTTATTTTTGAGAGTGGGGTAAGTACCCCCAGCCCACCTTACAGAGCAGCCCAGGCACCACAGCCTGGGCACGTGAGGCCTCTGCAGTGGAAAAGCAGCCCCAGGGGTGGGCGCCGTGAGGTCTTGGCCCGAGTGCACTGGGCAGGCTTCACAATGTGTGTGGATTTTTTAAAATAAAGTGTCTCCTCGTGGTGGCTGCTAGTGAGCTTTGGCCCCTGCCCAGAATGGGGAGGGGTCCCTGCAGGGATGGGCCCATCACAGCCCCCTCCTGCCAGCTGCATGCTGCCAGCTCCTGTTCTGTACTCACCTGCCCCCCAGCCACTGATTTATTTATTGATTCATCTCAGGAAATAAAGGTCTTGGAAAATGGAGAAGCTGCAGTCTTACTACCTGCCCCCACCTGCCATGAGTTGGCTTGAGTTTCTGAGGGCCCCTCCACCCTTGGGGAAGTTTTTTAAAACCCTGGGAAATTGAGGGGTACCCCCATGGAAGACAGAGGAAAGGCTTGACCATGAAGGGGTGTTAGGAGAAAGGGGGATGGAGGGACCAGGCTTAGGAGTGGAACTTTCTCGGTTTAGTACCAGCTCTCATTTGCCAAAGGACCCTGGACAAATGGCTTTCATCCACTCTTTTCATCTATAATGGACACGAAAATACTTTCCACTCAGGCTTAATGTGCGAATAAGTAAGGTGACGAATGTGAAGAGCTGAAGACAGTGTACAGCAGATAGATGTTCCATAAAATATTGGGAGCCATTATTTCTAAAGCCTGCAAGGGTCCAGCGCCATTTACTCTGCAAGCCCTCCCCTCCACAGTAAACACAGGACTTGCAGTTACTGGGAGGTGGGCCCTGCTACCTCTCCTCTGAACAGGATCCTGCGTGGCCAGAGGGAGGCATGAGCGAAGTCCTAAGATTTATTTCTTTGGCACAAAGGACAGTCTGGGCAAGCAAGCCTCATCTCCACTGAGGAGTCTGGAGGCGGGGGGGGGGGTGTTTGGGGCACCTGGACCCCATTTTCCATTCTCCAGTCGTGCATGTCCACCCTGTATTCCGCTTAAGTCACGGCCTCTGTGCAAAATACTGGAAAAAAATAGAGATATTTAAAAAAACAAAAATCGGGGTGAGTTCACCCAGGCTTGTCTCCGGAGGCTGCAATCAGGTGGAGGCCCAGGAATACTCCCGAAATGTTTTGCAAATATTCAACTGTCCCGGTTGGTCATGCCCGTGTAGGGCCATCGAGGCGGGGGCCCTGGTCCTGAGTTTCTGGACCCCCTCAGAGTTCGATGGTGTCACTGGAGGCGCTGCGGGAGTCCCCGGGCTTGCAGGGAGGCTGGACCCCACTCTGCGGCTCCCCAGGCTGGGCAGGAGCAGGGGCAGGAGCTGGGGAAGACAGTAGCTGCACGGTGCTGGGCAGCTCGTCCAGGGGCAGACTGTCCACCGACGACAGCCCGTGGCGCCACGGGTTCCAGCTGATCTTGAGTGAACCCCGTGAGAAGCTGTCCGCGGAACTGCCAGAAGCCGCCGGGTCAGGCTCGTCCACCACATGTTGGGGGACCGGCCCGCGCATGCGCAC